AAATACAGCACTGGTGAGCAAACTTTTCACTGGCACTCTTGACTACTTGGTAAGCCACCCAACTCTGCCCTTTCTCTTTTTCAGAGGAAATTCATTTTCAGGGTTTTGAGAACCTAGGGCTGAAATTATGTTTATTTCAGAAATCCCATCCCCTTACAGGACTGAAATAGTAGCCCCTTGGATTGCTGTCTGTTCAAGAGGAGAGGGCTGAGGCAGTGCATGCAGGTGACAGAAGACAAATTCATTCCTGTAGTGTCCCCTGTGGACACTCTGGGGTCCCCCAGGCAGGCTTTCCCGCTTGGTGCAAGGAAGTTTGTGCTGCCTGGGCCACTGGTGGTCATGGGAAGGTGTTGGGGGAAGGAAGAAGTTCTAGGAGAAGAACAGATTAGACGCTCTTAAAGCCAGTGGTTGTGAGATGCTTGAGAGGGCACTGAATAAGAAGCAAGGGATTCTACCTCCGCTCTGTTTTCAGGTGTGTGTTTACGAGTGGCTAGCTGACTGACTTGAGGGTCAGGAAGGATATGGCCATCACGCTCAAGACTTGAGGTGTCTCATCATGGTTGAATGCAGTGTGGCACCCTGCTCGTTTTAGCCGGAATGGTCACCCTTCTGGAAAAGATTTGGAGGGAAACTGGTAATAGCAGTTGGCTGGGAGGAAGGTGCCGGCTTCTCTAAAGCCCTGCATGAAGGAGTGGGATTATTGTTCTCTTCATCTGTGTATACGTGCTTTATTTCCTAATTATTTCAAATCAATCCGTCATTTTTTTCCCCATTTCATAATAGACAGCTTGTTTGGAGGAGCGATAAGGAAAGCATCTCTACAGACAGTGGAAAGCATCTTTCTAGGAGCACGTACATGTCCACTGAGCAGAGTGGGTAAGGAAAATAGTCCAATAATCAAAGGATGAAAAAGATTGACCCATCCATTCTGTGGTGGCTTTGAAGCAGAGTGACCTGGCCCACAGCCTCCTGCTGCTCCTTCCCTGTGGACATGGTTTCCCCAGCTCTGAGCACTGTCCTGCAGGTCTTTCACCTCTTTCCTCCCCATGCTTAACCCTTAAAGGAGCTCTCAAAGCGTGATCTCAAAGCAGTGACTCCCCTAGGCAAGATGAAGCAAGGCTGGGCATATATAAACTGTTTTAAAGTAAACTACTTCAACATAGAACCAGGAGAATAAGCCTTGACTTCAGGGGACAGCCTCTTACATCCTGTAACCTGAGGGATGATGATAATCTCTCACAGGAACAGTATTTAAGAAAAACATGAAAGATAAACTGGGCTGGTATATACACTAAGCTATATATAAGCTTGCACACTGCACCTGATAATGCTACTCAAAAGAGGATATGTTTTTTATCTGCTGAAGCTGCTCCCAGATATGCATGTACATAGCTCAGCCTCGTTCATGAGTGCTCTCACAAAATCTTCTGTTCGGCAGGGGCTTTAGGTGTATCCTTGGATTTCCTTTATGCGCTCTTTAGTAAGTGGAAGAGGTTTCTATTGTAATGAGCTGGATTACTGCTCTGGAGCTTTAGTGTTTTTAGACTTCGACATATTTGATTTAGTCCTGCCCAGCAGACTGCTTAGAGAGTGGGAACTCTGCCTCATGCTGCAGTGCAGTTGGGTTCAATCCAGTGGGGTTCTTTACAGTGCACTGATAGCCCAGGAATTAGTTACTGTTAATTATCTGAAAGCAAATTTGGAATCGCTCCTGATGAAACATGTGAGTGGCAGAGTGGCACGAGTGAGGGCCTGGCTGTCCCAGGTCCTGCTGTGCATGGCAGTGCCAAATGGTGGAAGGGGAGAGCCACGGTCCTGTCATTGCTCTAGGCGAGGCTCTGAGCTGAGCTTGCTACTTCCAGTTGCGTAGCCGTGGGATTGGTGAGGAGGCTGCAGCCCTGCAACTCCCTGGCTCAGCCCCTGAGCCAGTACCAGTGGCTCTGCCCCAGGGGAGCTCCTCGCCTTGCAAAGAGTACAAAAGTTAAAAGGGTCCTTTGCCTTACAAAGCCTTGTATCCTTAGGGTGGAAGGAGGAGGAGGTGGGGGTGCGTGGGTGGATGGGTGGGTGGGCGTGTGCACGCACAGGACTTCACTTAGTGCAGCAAGGGGAAGGAGTACCCAAGTAATATCTTGCCTTGGACACAACA